TTGAGAAGTGATTTCTCCCCAGTCTGAAATCTCACAAATGTCTCCAAACACATTCTTCCTGGTGTTATTTCCTTCTCCATAAGTGCCTCATCTCCTCTTCCATGTGGGTAATCGAAAGGCAGGAACCGTGTCTTCATGGGATCCAAGGCCTAGTGCACAGTGGGTTCCCGATACTTGTTTGATGAATGACTATTGGATAGTAGCTGGTAGATGGCCCCAAATAGCACCCGCCCCTAAACTGGAAAGAAAAAGAGGTCAGACGAGCTCCGTGTCCGACCCAACCCTGCAGGTCCAGAGCTGAGGAGTGGGCGGAAACAACAGGCCACCGAAGGGGGACTCTGAGGCTGAGGTGGGGACCTTCCAAGGCCATGCAGGTGGCCAGCTGGGAAACAGAAAACCAGGCTGCAGGCTCCCTGACAGTGGGACTTTGCTTTAGTCACCTGCGTATCCTCAGGGCTTAGCAAAATGCTGTGCGCGCAGAAATCCCAAGATTAAATGAGGCCATGTGTGAGGACCGCAAGCCAGAGAAGTAGGAAATATAAGGCACCCAAATTCAAGGTGCCCTGGAACTCAGGTGAGGGCTCTTCAAAATGACTTGACAAAGCTGAAGCGGGGGTGGGAGAAGGGCGCAGAGTGAAGCTGGTAGGTGGTCTTTTCTCCCCACTCCCTCCCTGTGGCCTTGAAACCACAGCCCTCCCACTAGCCTGGGCTCGGCTGGCTCCCGGAGACACCCGGCGCCACCTCACCCTCACGGGTGCCACGGGTGCAGAGCCGCCAGGCGCCAGGTGTGGGAGAAGCTCCCAGGTGCTCCCGAGTAGCACTGCTCAGACTTGAACGTGCCCCTGGATCACTGCGGATTTAGTTAAAATGCAGATTCTGGGTTGGTAGATCTGGGGTGGGGCCCGAGTTCCCCCCTTCGGGACCGTATCTGAGTATTAAGGGGCCAGACTAGCGGCGGTTCTCGATGCTGCCTGCATGTCATCATCACCGGTACTTACTGCGTTGGTGGGATGACCTTGTTCTCCAAGTTGGGAGGCTGGTCGGGCAGCATCAGTATCACCTGGGACCTCGTGAGACGTGCCAGTGCTCGGGCCCCATCCCAGACCTCTGCAATCAGAATCTACAAGGGTAGGGCCCAGCAGCCTGGGTTTTAACAAGCCCTCAAGGTGCACACAAAAGTTTGTGAACCACTGCCTTTCTGCCTCCTGATGTGATGTGGTGGGAGCTACAGAACATCACAAAGAATCACCTATGTGAGGTTCTTGCTGGAAATATCTGACCTGAATCTAATCACCAGGAAGCAGTGATTCTTCTCAGGCTTGGTGACGCTGTGTGGTTGTGTAAAAGAATATACTCTTTCTAAAAGGAGGCATGTTGGGGCGCCTGGGTGGCTCAGTCGTTAAGCGTCTGCCTTCGGCTCAGGTCATGATCCCAGGGTCCTGGGATCGAGTCCCGCATCGGGCTCCCTGCTCCGCGGGAAGCCTGCTTCTCCCTCTCCCCTCCCCCTGCTGTGTTCCCTCTCTCGCTGTGTCTCTCTGTCAAATAAATAAATAAAATCTTTAAAAATAAATAAATAAAATAAAAGGAGGCATGTTGCCACATTTACGGGCCAAATAGCAAGTGTCTCTGGCCGACTTTTGAATGGTTTGGCTAAAGGGAAGTACATGTGATGGCGTGGATGTGGCAAGATGTTGACATTTGGTTCATTTAGATAAGAAGTTTAAAGGAGTTGAATGAACTCTTCTTTGGAATTCTGTGTATTGGGGGGAATTAAAAAAAAAGGCATGAAGAAATATTAACCATGTTGGGCCATGCCTCTAGTGTTTTCTGATTGATTTAGTTTGGGGTAAAAGCTGGATATATTGTATAATCTCCCAGTGGTGATTCAAATGTGCACCCAGTATTGAGAACCTTGATTTTATGGTTGCTTTTCTTAAACGATGACATAAAATCACCTGCCTCAGAACCCAGGGGCTGCCAGTTTACAATGCAAATCCTGAGCCTTATTAGTGCACTGGAATCAGGATCTCTTGGGTAGAACCCCAGGCGAGCACCAAGAGTATTCTGATCCTACCTTTAAGAATTTTTGTTTGAAGCGCTTTGTCAGAGTATTGAGTCACCAAGCCAGATTGCTATAGGGTCCAGGAGGTAAACTGAACAAGTGAAGCAAGCTGGGTGTCAGATAATAGGGAATGGTGGGGACTAAAGCAAACAGAAGAATGCATTACAGTTCCCAGCTGACTGAAAATGATGTGTTGTCAGTGTTGTCCACTGTTACCAGATCTTTCTTTCTTTTCCTTTTTTTAAAGAGACACCAGAAATCTAGTTTTTTCAAAAAAAGGTTTTATTTGTTTATTTATTTATTTGAAAGAGAGAGAGAGTGCATGCTTGTGGGGGAGGGGCCAAGGGGGGAGGAGAGGAACAAACAGACTCCACATTGAGTGCAGAGCCTGATTCGGGTTTCTATCTCACAACCTGGACACCACGACCCCGAGACCATGACCTGAGCTGAAACCACAGACATTCAACCGACTAAGCCACCCAGGCACCCCCAGAAATCTAGTTTTTAATCTCCCAATTTAAGTTGGTGACTAACTAAAAAAAAAATATTCAAACACCGTGCAAGCTAAACAAAACATGTCTGAGGGTAGTGCTCAGTCTACTGACCATTTCTTTGCAACCACTGACACGGCCTTAGCTCAATGAGCAGGTACTCTGAGGGCCACGAGTCAAGGGTTCTCTAGCTCAGCAGAGAAAAGCACAGCCTGTGTTCTCATCATGTTGCCATGTTTCCGAGCAATGGCTTCCTCTGCAGGAATCCTCCCAAATATCCCATCCAAAGTTCCTCTATTGCTCCTTAATGGTGTGGTGTGTCCACGGTCTCCTTTCTGGGGAATTAGCTGAGTGAGAGAGAAACATTTAGCAAAGATGAGCTTCTGGCTGAGAGCTCAGGGGCACAGCATACCATGTCCCTCGACCAGCAGCACAGCAGTGATCTAGGTCGTTTTCTTTTCTTTGTTTCTTTTTAAAATTCTTTATTTGAGTATAGTTGACACAATATTATATTAGTTCCAGGTGTACAACATAGTGATCTGACAAGTTTATACATTATGCTGTACTCACCACAAGTGTAGCTGCCATCTGTCCCCCCACGCTATTACAATATCATCGACTGTGTTCCTTATGATGTGCGTTTCATTCTCGTGACTTATTCATTGCGTAACTGGAAGCCTGTATCTCCTTCTCCCCTTCATCCATTTTGCTTATCCCCCCATCCTCCTGCCTCTGGCAACCATCAATTTGTTCTATGCATTTATAGGTCTGATTCTGCTTTTTCTTTGTTTGTTTGTCTATTCATTTGTTTTCCTAGACCACAAGGCCTCTCCCTCATTGTAACAATTACAGAACAAACCACTGGAAAGTTGCTGAGCCTGACCCGGGGTTGGAAGAGCAGGAGAACTTGTGTGGACAGCACTTACATTCCAAAGGGTTTTCACCTTTTCTCTGTGGCTTCCAATCCAACAACCATGTCAACTGCCCATAGATCCCAGGATACCAGGCTCTGGTCCTAGCAACTCCACTACGCTGCTGTGTGAACTTGGCTAAGTCACATTTCCCTTTCTGCATCACCAGCTTCTCCCCTGTGGAAGGAGACTATCATCACTGGCTTTTTAGCAATAGAACTCATTTTTGAAATGTTGATGAAATCGTATAGCAAAACCCAAATATAAAACAAAAGCAATACAGAGTTCAGTTCTTCCAAGGTTGATCGGGACATGTCAATTCTTGCCAATCCCCTCTTGCAGCCATAAGGTTCCAGCGAACAGAGTTTTAAAACTACAGAGTTTGCTTATTTTTAAGCAGTTTTTTCCAATTTGGAGATTGCTTATTTTTCCAATTTGGAAATGCCGTGTGAAAACTGTGCATGAGCAATTTCCTCTAAATCTCCCACTGGTTCATATTTTAACTATGACTTTAGGAAAGGCCACTTCTCCAAAGCATTTAGTGAAGCCTCCTGGTTACACAGAACTGTGCTAGATGCTATAAAAGAGCAGATGTTAAGATAGTAAATCCTGGGAGGTAAAAGAGGAAAGGGACCTTGGACAGATTCTAATTCTATATTTCATGACCTATTCTCACTCATGACCTCTTTCTGATAAACATAAAAATCTCACAGACTGGGAGGTTTGATGTCATTCTCACCCTCTGACTCATGAAAACTTTGGTCTCACTTTGCTTTCTGTAATTTATATTATGAAAACAATTGTTTTTTCATGTTTCAAATAAAAATTATAGAACAGTGTATTATCGATCTTGCTTTTTCCAAAACACACACGTCACACCAAAGAATGTAATATATGCCCTCTACCCTCTGCCTCTCCCCACTCATTGAGAATAACTGACCCAATTTATTCCTCCTCATTTATGCTTATAGCTTTGGTTTCCTTATGAAATGTGAAGACATGGGCGCCTGGGTGGCTCAGTTGGTTAAACGACTGCCTTCGGCTCAGGTCATGATCCTGGAGTCCCGGGATCGAGTCCCGCATCGGGCTCCCTGCTTGGCAGGGAGTCTGCTTCTCCCTCTGACCCTCCCCCCTCTCATGTTCTCTGTCTCTCATTCTCTCTGTCTCAAATAAATAAATAAAATCTTAAAAAAAAAAAAAAGAAATGTGAAGACATTATATGGGGAGTGAGGCGGCGTGAGGAGATTGGTGGGGTATAGATGAAACAAGATTAGCCTTGAGTTGATAATTGTTGACTGGGCAATTGGTATATGGAAATTCTTTAAATGTTCTCTCTACTTTTGTATGTTTGAAATGTTCCATAATAAAAGCATTATATGAAGAAAATATTACCTACTTGTGTGTTGAAATTGAGTATTTTACCCAGTTGCAAACCTAGAAGCACTTTGAACAGCATCTTCATTGGTGCAGCCACGTCTGACATTGGTTCCGATGCCCTGTCTCCACTGCCTGATTCTACCCATTTTGTTATAGCAGAAGCTCACACTACATGCCGTGAGGACAGACAAGGAACTGCAGCAGCCCAAATCCCAGACTGGAAGAAGCCTCTGACTCTGGGTACTTATTCCTTCACCCACCTCTCACCAGCTGCAGATGAAGCTGAAAGCCCTGTCTAACCCTGACTGCAAAGGGTTAACACTCTGCCCCTGAAATGACTGGGTTTCCTTTTGGTCAGTGTTGTTTTTCAGGCTCATGCCTTCCTGATGACTCAGTGCAGATCAACGTGACCATGAGTTTTTGGTTCCTGAGTATATGTAACTGACTCAGATTACCAAAAATTGAGAACTGATTGCATTTGCCTTCTCCATCCATGGTGAAATAGCTCACCTGTATCCTGAGTGGTGGAGAAAAGGCTTCTGTGACACTGGGTGCCTCAGAGGATGGGCAGTGCAGTCTCCGGGGTGGAAAAAAATCAGAGGCTGCTACTAAGTAAAGAATCTGTGGGACTCAAACACAGAGGGAGGGGGCAGGGCACCAAAAGGACTGACACCTGAATAATCCATCTGTAGCAAAATGGCTTCCAACTAATTAAACATATAAAAACCTCTTTTAGAGAAGATAATCCTATTGGATCAACTTGCAAGATTTTTCCAGCCAGCTTCTGTCTCTTGGAGCTTCAATTAAAAGCTGTTTAGCAGATGGCAATTTCTGAGTCACAAAGTTAGACTCTCTGGCAACCATGTGTGCTTTTGGTTTCCCAGGGGATCCTGGCCACATATGGCCCTAGAAGAGGTGTGAGAGTTCTTCCTTGGCATACAGTAGAGGGCTCCTCCCCCACCTCAACACACAGATGACAGGGATTTCAACATAGCCATCAAGGGTGATTAACAGGAGGGATTCTTCCAGATAATTCAGGGATTTAGGGAAGGGAGCTTGAACATCATCTAGTGCAACCCCTTCTTTTTATAGAATTAGGAAACCGAGGCTGGGGGAGGGGGGTTCTGTAATCTATCTAAAGTCACCCAGCAATGGAGAAGCAGGGGTCAGGACCAGTCTCATGCTTAATTACTAGAGAGACAACTTTTCTATTTCCTTTGGGGACCTAATTGATTGCCTCGTCCTTTCCTTAAACTCACAGAGCTGCTAAAGGATATTTTACTAACGATCTGACAAATTGGTCAGGAGAGGGGCTTGACAGGTCAATTTGTCTACCTCTTACTTCACTACAGGACAAAACCTCTGAAGTAGAACCCCATTGCTCTTCTCATCAGAGCTGTCCACTAATGTTGAAGTCACAGCTTCCCTTGGGTGCTGCCAAAGAGAAACAGCCAAACACTAGTGAAGGCAGCACGATTTTATTCAGTACTACTGCAGTAGGGGAGAGACCTCAGTTTGACTTCACAGAAATGAAAGGCAGGAGGGTTTTCAAGTGCTGGGGTGTACTTGAAAGGAAAAGTACTTTAAAAAGTTGGGGTCAGGGCAAGAAGACTGATGTGAATAGGCCACCTGTGCTTGCTTATTGTAGTCAGCCTCTTACCGTCCCACAGAAACTGGGTGACAGGGTCCTACCTTTCTGGTTGATGGTTACATTTCAAAGTGATGGCTTCCAGGTCCTTGAGAAAAACATCCCTGGCTTGTGGAAGGCACATCACAAAAGGACAGAAAAAAGATTTACAGTTGCAAGTTTTTAAACTAATGCTTCTAAGAAAATGGAGGTCAGGAGCCTATAGTCATGTTTTAGAACGAACAGTAAATTCTTTTGGCAGCTTTGAGCTTTCTCAAAGCAGGAATTTAAGGAGACTGGGGCCATCATTCTAGGAATGCACCCTTGAGCTGTTAGAAACTTGCTGGTGTTGTTTAAGTCTTTCAGTGTGAAAGGTGGACAAATAATTTGTTCTGGAAGTCTGCAGTTTTCCTAGGCTGAGGTTGAGGTCTACTCAAGAAGAGGTCACAGAGGAGCCTGACTCAAATTTGGTTAAAGACAGAGTCTTTGTCAATGTTGGCGAGACCTCCAATGCCCTGCTGGTCAGAAAGTTGATTCAGAGATTTTCCCGTATTTCTCACCATGGTTTAAACCTATTTATTCCTGTTCTTCACTGGGGCTAGAAGTTGGTTCGTGCTCTGCTCTGGAATGGTTCTTCATATATTTACAACCAATCTTTCCCAAACTGAATTTTAAGTTGTTTGAAGTCGGGTCCATGTATGACATTTTTAAGAAACCTTCCAATGTACCTTGTAAGTAACTGACTTGATAATCATTCACTGACCCACCTGCCAGATTACATTCCATTTTCAATAGTGCTAATCAATATCTCACAGCCCATATCCTATTTCTATAACCACCTCTGTGATTTTTTTTTTTCTGAACCCTCTTCCAATGTAGGAGACCAAAATAAACCTCCTCTATTTACCTCTGTAATTTCACCAGCACGTTCTCTTTCAAAAATGTCCCCAAGAATTCAACTCATCAAACTTTTCCTGAGCCCCAGTAAAAGCCAGACAAACAGTGTCCTGGAAGCTAGGGAGGAAGAGATCAATGGGTCAGGGTTTCTGCTCTCAAGTGGACAAATGGGGAGACTGACAAGTATTTCAAGGATTCCAATACTCAGTGAGAAGCTCTGCATAGTGGTGTGTGCCCAAAAGAAGGTCCCTAATTCAGTTTGAGTGGGAAATGGTTAGGGAAAGTCTCCTAGAAGAGACAACTCTGCTTGGGTTAGGTTCCCTTGAAGGAAAGTCTGAGAGGAGAAATCTTAGACAAGTGATTTAATGAAGGAGATCAGAAGAAACCTGTGAAGAAATGAGGGAAGCCTGATAGATGTACGCATACATGTGAATTCAGCCGTGTAGTCTATCCTTAGTCTGATCCCAAAGGTATATCTGGAGGGAGTATAAATCACGCCAGAGTTGCCCCTCATGGGGTCAAAGAGGCCAGACTTCTGTGCTCCTTATCAGGCTACAGGCTGCTCCCGAGGGGGAGAGGACCTAACATCTTACATAATTCTGGGAGAAGCTCCTGCTGGCAGCTGGTGATCTCTGGAGAAGGATGTAGTTTTGAGCAGCTGGGGTGAGTATACTTGCCAGCTAACAGGGATCTTGGTGGGGTGCAGGTGGTCTCTACTACAATACCTGAACTGACACTTGAAAGAGGAGAGCAGTAAAGTTAACTGTAAGAAGTATACGGGAGGGGGAAATGGTAGGGCATTTCAAGGCAAACTTACAGAGGGCAGAGAGAACACAATGAGTTTAGAAAGGACAGAGGTTTGGTAGATGTCTTAGCTCAGGCTGCTATAACAAAATAACCATAAACGGAGGGGCTTATAAACAACAGAAATTTATTTCTCACGGTTTTGGAAGCAAGAAGTCAGAGATCAGTCCAGTATGGTCAGGTCCCAGTGAGAGCCCTCTTCTGGGGTTGTGGACTGTGGTTTTCTTGTTGTATTTCCACATGGTAGAAAGAGGGCAAGAGTGAATCTGGGGTCCCTTTTATTTTTTTATTTTTTATTTTTTTTTAAAGATTTTATTTATTTATTTGAGAGAGAGAGAATGAGAGACAGAGAGCACGAGAGGGAAGAGGGTCAGAGGGAGAAGCAGACCCCTTGCTGAGCAGAGAGCCCGATGCGGGACTCGATCCCGGGACTCCAGGATCACGACCCGAGCAGAAGGCAGTCGCTTAACCAACTGAGCCACCCAGGCGCCCCTGGGGTCCCTTTTATAAGGAATCCTAATTACATCCAAAGGCCCCACCTCCAAATACCATCACACTGGGGTTAGGATTTCGACATATGAATTGGGAATCAGGCACAAACATTCAGTCCATAGCACTATGAGTGGGACAGATAGAACACTGGGTTTAAAAAGAAGGGGGTGTGTGCATCACCAGCTAATACCAGTGGACGAGGACCCCTTTCCCATCTTGGGTATTTAACATCTACCCTTCTCCCATCTCAAAGGAGACCGGAGATGCAGCCCCTGGAGACACTGAGCCAGAGGATGGACGAGGTATACACAGAAGGATGACCAGTGCAAGTTACGTGACATTTGAGTGCTTCCAATTCGCAAGGCTGTCTATCTCTCCCCCGGGAGTAGGAGATCTTCACCAACTCTTCTCAGGCCCAGCGCTTTGAAGAGGTATTTGATTTGTTCACCGGCAGACAACACCCGAGAAGCCCAAATACAGTCATTCAGACTCTGCCATTGTTTACACAGCCTGTCACTCCCCTTGGAGACAACTGGCTGGTCCTGGCTCCAAATCCATCTTCTTCTAGCCAAGCTGGTTGCTCAGGACCTCGAGTTCTGCCTGGCGTTCACAAATTGATAAATTGGTGTTTTGTTCTGTTTTTCTCCTTTCTTTTTTTTCCTTTTTCTTTTTTTCTTCTTCTTTTTTTACTTATTTATTTGTCAGAGAGAGAGCACACACAGGGGGAGCTGCAGGCAGAGGGAGAAGCAGGCTCCCCGCTGAGCAAGGAGCCCCATGTGGGACTCGATCCCAGGACCCTAGGATCATGACCTGAGCTGAAAGCAGACACTTAATGGACTGAGCCACCCAGGCACCCCTCTTTTTTCTTGAGATGTTATTTTTTTTTTTGAAAAGATGGACACTGTTGTAATCTTCCCTGCCTCTGGGACCTCAGTCTTCCACATGTTCTCAAAATTAATAGCTAAGTATTTTGCAATAACACTTGTCAACTCCTTGAGTCTCCTACTTTGCCAGTTTGAATACACCCACCTTCAAACAAACTCTCTTCTGTGGAGTAGAGTCTGACACACACCTTCCCACCCATGAGAGGTGATACTTGTTTTGGTATGTGGGTACAGCTAAATCTTGTATAAACACATTAATGAAATTGGGTAAACCAAGAATCTACCCTGAACCCAACTCTTAAAGGTGTCAAAAGATTACAAAAGGCTTTTGTTGAGATAGCATGTTAGTGTGCACCCAAGTGTGGATGGATGGTTGATAAATGCAAGACTGCAAAATGGCAGCAAGGCTCCTCAGATGTCTTGTATGAGCAATATATCCTTCCTCACTTTTCTAATAAGCAAAATAATTGTTTTAGATCCTCAGGGACTGTTTTGATTTTCATTTCCATCTTTTTGGCATTCCCATGTACTTTTCAGGCATTTGTATACACGACTCGTTCCATAAACATATATAAGAGCCCCTGTTGTATGATCAGCCACTGTCACGTGCTGGAAATACAACAGTGGACAAGGCACTCAGGGTCCTGGCTCTCATGGAGTTTGCAATTTAGGAAGACAAACAGACATTTAGCAAATCATTTAAAAAATATTTATATATCACAATTGGGAGAGTTCTAAGAAATAAAAATACAGTGGTGTTCTGATTATCTATTGCTGCATAACAAACCATCCCAAAGCCTAGTCTTAAAACAATGACAATATAGTGCATCATGTTGATGAGCACTCAAAGGGGAGAGCTCACCCCTGCTCTAGTTGGCATTGGCTGGGGTGGCTCAAGAGATAGGTGCTGGAATCATTTGAAGGAAAAGGCACTCAGCTGTCTGAACGCTCATGATGGCTATCTGCTGGGACCTCAGCCACAGCTATCCGATGGGACACATACGTGTGGCTTCTCTGTGTGGCCTGGGCTTTCCCGCAATATGGCGGCTGGGTTTCTAGAGTGTGTGTCCTGATAGAGAGCAGGATAGAAGTCCTATCATATCACACCCCACTTATCCAGGCAGTTACAAAAGCTGACCCATTTTCAAGGGGAGGGAATGTAGACTCTTTTTTTTTTTTTAAGATTTTATTTATTTGTCAGAGAGAGAGAGCAAAAGGAGGGGGAGCATCAGGCAGAGGGAAAAGCAGGCTCCCCGCTGAGCAATGAACCCGATGCGGGACTCGACCCCAGGGCCCTGGGATCGTGACCTGAGCCAAAAGCTGATGCTTGGCTGACTGAGCCACCCAGGCATCCCGGATACAGCCTTCTTGATGGTGAGAGTGTCAATGAGTCTGTAGACATGTTTTAGATCCACTACACCTAGAGTGACCATATAACTCACTGTCCAAAGCAAGACATTTTGAGAGCAAAAGTGGGTGCTTTTCAAGCATGAATAAAACTGGCCTTGGTAAGCCAAGACAGGTTACCTCTACTACTATGCTCTCCAAGCTCTCTTAAATTCTTTTGCCTCTCTGATGTTCATTGTGTCATTTTAAAACATACTCTTTACTCATTGAAATTTTGTGTTTTAAAATTTGTTTTGTGATCATTTATTTTTTCTAAATCATAATTATTACCTTGTGGCTGCTTGTTCATGATGACTCTGGAACTTGGTAGTTATGAATCTTGTCCCACTACATCTTTCCTGCTAATTGGGACAACTTCTGGCACTGCGGATCTAAGTGCTTAGAATGCCTTTTCTCTCAGATGAGGGAAACCCAAGCAATGGAAGAATTTGCTTCAAGGAATGCTTTTTTAAAAACCTCATTTTTTGGCGAAGTGGTAAAAAAACACAGTGATGACTCATCAGTTGAAATCAAATCCTTCATCCCAAAAAAGTGTTTTTATAAGAAGTGGGTGGTTTTTTTTTTTTCTTTCCCCAAAGGCAGACTGCATAATATTTGGTGCTTCTCTTTTCTAAGTAATATATTCCATCTCAGTGGAAAGTGACAGTTTCAGACTTGAGCCAATAACATTTTATTTTCAGAGCTGTGCGTGATGCCCCCTTATCCTGGGATCTGCTTTTGCCTTCATCCCTGAGAGGAGTTCAGCCATGGACCATTCCACACCGACACAGTCTCCCTTTCCTCCCTTCCCTTGGCCAGTGATTAACCTGTTTTTCTAAAGACCCTTGAGCAGAATAAATGCCTAGAGAGAGCATCTGGAAACAGCACCCAGGTGTAAATAAGCATGGCAAGTTAAGTGTCCTTCAAGAGTGGACCACAGTCAACCACTGTCAATCTCTGTCTTGCAATCCCGGGTCTCCACGCAGGAGCCTTTATTCACAAATCTCCACCAGAAAACATTTTCTTTCTGTCCTTTCCTTTTTGTGACTCTGTCACTCTGTGCCGTGACTGAAAGAAAGCAGTGTGATTCTTTTCTGATCCAGGAAAGCAAACACCCCTTCCTGTTCAATTTGTCTTCTCAGAAGCTTCCACAAATATCTCCTTGCTAGAAAACAAAAATGCAACACTGGTATCCATTTCTGTTCCAGACTGAAATACACAGGACACTTTTATGAGTCCCGACCTATGGCCTGAGCTTCACGAATTGAGAGGGTATTCAAGAGAGCTACAACGAGAGCATCAGGTCTAGGAAACCCGAGCGGAAAGAGTTAAAAGAACCACCAGGGGTGGGAAGAGCAGCGTCCAATAGCTGCTCAGATGGCAAGTGGGCCTGGACTTAGGGTGACCCACTGTCCTGGTTTGCCTGGACTGAGGGGGGTCCTGGGGCTTTCCATTTTTTATAACCAGAAAGTCCTGGAAATGCGGGGACTGGCCTTCTCTTCCTTAATCAGAAGCTCCCCGCACTGCTCTGCTGCCCAGAGCCGGGTTCTGCTCTGGAACTGCAGGAAGGGGCAACGAGATGATCGTGGGCCAGGGCCTGGAAGGGAAAGGAAAGAGCCAGAGGCACAGCCAAGCTTTTAGGCTCTAGGTTCGGGGTGCTAAGTGATGTTTGGGTGAGAAAGTGGCAGTGGTGAAAGTGAACAATACTCTTCATGGCACGAAAGCACCACGGTGGAACTCCACCCTGTAAGGAAAGGATCACTCAGCTTTGTAAAATGTTATACGCAACTGATGAATTATTTTTTTTAAAAGATTTTATTTATTTATTTGAGAGAGAGAATGAGATAGAGAGAGCATGAGAGGGGGAGGGTCAGAGGGAGAAGCAGACTCCCTGCTGAGCAGGGAGCCCGATGTGGGACTCGATCCCAGGACTCCAGGATCATGACCTGAGCCGAAGGCAGTCGCTTAACCAACTGAGCCACCCAGGCGCCCGAACTGATGAATTATTGAACACTACATCTGACACTAAGGAGGTACTCTGTGTTGGCTGATTGAATCTAACTTAAAAAAAAAAAATGAACATGTTCCACCTGAGCTTTTAAGGTCCCTCCCAGGCAGCCTTCCAAGAATCCTCGGGAGTTAGGGGCAGTCTGGGCCTCTCACCAGATCCCAGGGCCCCACTCCTGCTCCTCTCATGTGCTGGGGGTGGGGGGGGCCCTCCCTCTCTGTCCATCCCCAATGGCAGGGCATTCAGTATTCAAAGCTCCCTTTCTTGTGCTCAAGGCTTCAAGCCCCCAAAACAACCCAGCTTACCGCCCTGCACTGAAATACCTAGAGGGGAGTCTCCTCTCTGGTCACTTCTCTCTTCAAGAAAAACAATATCCCAAAGTCAGAAATAAAGCAAAATAGACGCATGACCCTTGTGGTCAAGCCTGCCTCGGGGTCACTTGACTTTCTAGCAGAACGTAACTTTGTTTAACTTACTATTTACTCTTGATCCAACATGGTAGGATTCTCCAAGATTAGCTATTAGTTCGTTGAGAATCATTAAGATACAAAGGGTGTTTATCCAATAGTGGTACAAATGGGTTTTTTCCTGTAGAGATCAAAATGACTTCTGTTTGCGAGAAACTCTAACTTTAAAGGTTAGAGTTTTATGGCCTTGAAGAAAAAGAATTAGTGTTGCATATAACTTAGTGAACTTATTCCACATTTTTGAAAAGATTTATTTATTTATTTGAGACAGAGAAAGAGAGAGAGCGGGGGGAGGGGGCAGAGGGAGAGGGAGAGAGAGAATCTCAAACAGACTCCCCACTGAGTACGGAGCATGACACGAGGCTTGATCCCAGGACCCTGAGACAACAACCCCAGCTCAAGAAACCAAGAGCGGGATGCTCAAGAAACTGAGCCATCCAGGCGCCCCACTCCTTCCACATTTTTTCTTTTACTACCATATATGAGTCATCTTGTACATCTTGTACACCTGGTTCTCTTACTAATGAGTTAAAATAAAACTTTGGCATGTACTCATAATGTATTTGTGTGAGAATTATGCTTTTTTAGCATTTGAAACATTATGCTTTGGGCAGTTCCCCCCACCGCACCTCCATTTTTGGTTCTCTTTGGACCCACAACAACACAGTTTTAAGTCATGAGTCCTCTTCATCTTTCTGTTCTTTGTCACTGATGACACCCTGGGCCTCCCTCAGGGTTGTGGTAAGTGGCACCTATGGGTAAAAAAATTTTTTTAAGGAATTACTCAGTTGCAGAGTTACAGATAATAGCAAAATCTGGACTCTAAGATGTCCGGCAACGGATAATAGGAAAATATGGTACATCAACATTAAATACTGTGCAGCTAGTAAGTATCATCATTGTCGAGACTATTGCAGCAACTCGGAAAATGCTGAGGTGAGCATGTGCGAATACAATATTTGCAATATAACCTGGAAGTTAAGACAAACATGAAGATATCTATACGGAAGTACTATCAGGAAGATTTCTCATTTTTCCCCAAATTTTATTTAAGATGGTTTTTGTCCTTTCAATGAAAAAAAAAACATTAAAAAGAAAATTTAAAACCCAAGCAAGCAGAACATTAATATTATGTGATCTTATTGATGTCATTATCGCCGACATGATCGTGAAACTATGGTTCAGAGATTTCATCGAAAAACTCTCCGAAGTCTCCCCAAACTTGCCCATTCTATCACTCCTTCACCTCTGAATGCTTAGGAGCTCCAAGGTCGCTTTCAACTCAATCATGCTATGTGACCAGAGCAAGGAAAGGCAAAGCCCTAAGAAGTAGATAGAGCTTGGTGAGGTAAGATTTGAAGAGATGAGCTTCCAAAGGTTTATGAAAACACATACGAGACCTCAACCTTCAGCCTCCTGGACAGGGATGTTAATAAGCACTGCCCACTGACTCTCAGGTCCCCTTAGGGGGCTGTCATGTTCCAGCCCCATATCTACCCTTATGGCACTGTTCTTGGTGCCCCAAACTCTACCCAACTCACCCAACTCCACCCTTGGGGCAGAGCTGCTGAATATGCACCCTCTAGACCCCAAATTGGGACCCAGGACCAATATCCCCTTTGCCCACCCTGCCTTCCACCACTTGGAACATCTATGCCTGGCCACAGAGAGCCCTTCCTGATGGTGGATGTGGCAACTAGCTGTCCTTCTGAAGACAGGCCTTTCCCTCCCCGCCCTCTTGGAGAAAACCACAAAAACAAAACAGGAGCCAGATATGTTCTAAGGGGAATGTTTACACCCTGCTGCCATTTCATTAAGCTCTTTGGCCCAGGACACAGGCCATGAGGCATTTGGGAGGCCTCCCAGAGGTACCCATGCAACAGGCCCAACTATCTGCCTGCTCTAACCTCATCTGAAGTTGCTTTTGGTTCTCTGGCAGCTGATGATTTTAAGCTGGCTCATCTTCTAAGTGCATGTATTTACAAACAGACTTTACTGATGTTCCTTTCAAAACTCCCTCCTCCTGATTCCTTGCCCAGTCTCTATTCATTGAGTCAGAGTCATATTTTGTTTGATACATTGGTTTAGTCTTAGCTATTTTTCAAGCACAGACCCCCACGGATAAGCTTCTGATGGGCGGGGACATATTTTACATTCCTTTATAGCCCAGGAGCTAACATAATGACCTACAAAGAATAAATATCTCAGGGCACCTGGGTGGCTCAGTTGATCAAATGTTCCACTCTTACTTTTGGTTCAGGTCATGATCTCAGGGTTCTGGGATCCAGCCCCACGTCAGGTTCTACTCTCAGTGGGGAGTCTGCTTGAGGATTCTCTCCCTCTCCCTCTGCCCCTCCTCCCACTCTCTCTCTCTGTGTCTCTAAAATAAATAAATAAATCTTAAAAAAATACATCTCTTGGCAAACTGGAAACAACTCAAATGTTCATCAATAGAGTGGATACAAATTATGGCTTATTTGTACAACAAAATACTTCTCAGTATTCCCAAATACTTAGGTTCATTCCTAAAGGAATGAACCACTGACACATGCAACAACCTGGATGAATCTCAAAAGCATTACACTGAGCAAAAGAAGCACACCCAAAAGAGCATATACTATGATCCCATGTATATGAAGCTCTCAGACCAGCAATGCTAATCTGTGATAGAGGTCTATTATGGACTGAATTTTGCGTGCCTCCCAAATTCCTGTGTTGAAGCCTTAATCCCCAGTGTGACTGTATTTGGAGATGGGGCCTCTAGGAAAGAAATCGAGATTAGATGAGACCATAATGGAGAGGCCCTGATACAATATGATTTGTGTCTTTCTAGAAGGGAGACCAGAGGGCTCATTTGCATACGAAGAAGAGGTCATGTGAGGACAACTGGGAAGGTAGCCATCACAAACCAGTAAGAGGGCTCTCAACAGGAACTGAATTGGTCGGAACCTTGATCTTGGACCTCTAGGCTCCAGATCATGAGAAAATAAATTTTTGTTGTCCTAGCCACCTAACCTATATGATATTTTATTACGGCAACCTTAAGACGAGATGGAAATAGTGGTTGCCTCTGGGGAAGCTGGCATTGACTGGAAAAGGATACAAGAGAACTTTCTAGGGTGAAAGAAACATTCTACATCTTGATAGGGTGGTGGTCACATGGATATTTACAAATGTATATACAAAAAAGTATTGAGCTGTTCACTTAAGATATGTGTATTTTATTACATGTAAATTATAACTCAATAAAGAAATAAATAAAAAAGTCTGTTGGTAAGAATGGTTATCTCTTCGCTGTAGCTAACACCCTCCGACTGATCAACTCGGGATGAAGGTTTATCAAACACCCACTATGGGCAGATCCTTGCAGTAACCACAGATACAGCAACAGGTGGGGGGAATCGAGCCTGGGCTCTGGACTTGGGGAGCCTTTTTCAACTCCAAAAGTAGTATCTGGAAGTCCTCATAGCCACTGAGGCAATTTGTACCAAACACTAACAGCTCATTAAGACACTTTTGACACTGTGGAAGTCACATTAACTCCTTCATGCTTCTACTGAGGCGGCTGTTGCCTGGTCCCTCCAAGAACCAGGGTGATTCTAGATTTGCTCGTCTGTAGGCAAATACCACCAGGAAAAAAAAAAAAAAGGAAATGGGAAAGTTGGTGCAGAAAGTTTTGATGAGATATTAAACTGTGAGATTCAGACCTTAAACACTCTCTCTACTCAAACAAAAGAATCTGCAAACTATTTATGCCCACATTTCAGTAGTTCACTTTTCTGGAGTTGTTAGCAACTTGCGACAAAAATGAGAAATTCGTCCCCAGGTTATTTCCACTCCTTTCTTTCCAGAACGTTGACAATGCCAATGAGAGGCAATCAGATAGAACTAAAGAAGCATTGTAAACCAGGGGCAAGATCTACATGTCCCTTCCCAGGGAGAAATGTGCCGTTTCCTTTCCAGGCTCTTTGCAATGAAAAAAACAAAAGTTGTTTTCATAAAGTCACTGGCATTCTAGAAAATGTGTGCCACCTATCTTCCCTTCTGTGTCCTTAAGAGACACTGTTAATTGATCATAGCACTGTTAATCACTGAGCCCAGTTCCAGAAGTGCTAGCTAAACACAGCCAGTTGTTAAATTTCAGGAATCTTCCTAGCTGGTTATTGAACATACTCATTATTAAAAATTAAATTATGTAAATTTATACTTGAGTGAAGTATATTAAAAGAAAAGGTAAGGGATACTCAAAATCTATCATTTCCTAAGTATTTTACTACATTTTATTATTATCTATGCATCTGAGGTTATTTACATATATGGTATCTGGAAGAGCTTTATAATGATGTGCTATAACACAGTCTCAGGAGTTGGCCAGGCTTGTGAGTTCCTGAGATAAAGTCTCCCCATTTTATTGTCAGTTTTTTTCATGATGGCACCCCTGGCAAAGGTAGCAGAAGGTAATTTATTGGGTTAGAATGAAGCCTTTGGGCTGGGGTGGGGAAGCCTTTGGGCTACATAATTTGTAGGGCCCAGTGTAAAATGAAAATGTGGGATGCTTTGCTCAAAATTTATTAAAGATTTCAAAATGGTGACAATAAACCATTAAACCAAACATGGGCTCTTCTGATCATAGGCCCTTTGTGAATGTCTGTGAAACCAACCCTGGTAACAGGTCACCATTTACCTGTGGGGATCCTGCTTTATCTGCGTGTCTGTAACCCAGGGACTGCCCACCTAATTTTCAAGGACAAAGCTTTCAGGCAAAATGCAGTGAGTCTTGAAGTCCTGTGACCTGACTTTGGAGGTGAGCCATGATCCTACAGGTCCAAAGTACAGATCTCAAGGTTTAGCGGAGTTCCACTTTCTCAAGACCCCAAAGGTTCCAGGGCCCAGGACCCCTGCTGGAATCTGGAGAGGACACAGAGATGTCTCAGGGATATAGGGACAGAGGTGAAGGCAGAGAACCCTGCCATTGGCAGCCCTTCTAGAAAGGAGGCCACAGCTGACCAGATAAACATCCACAGAGAGCCAAAACCTGCTCTGCCTCAGAACGAGTCGCAAGTGTCTCAGGCCTGACTCTTCCTCTTTGGCCAAGTCACCCCTTTTTACTCTTTGATCCTGTCTTGAGAAGATGTCAGACTAACAGAATGACCAACTCATCCCAGTTTGCTGGGATTTCCCAGTTTGAGCAATGAAAGCCCCATGGTCTGGTAAGCCTGGGAGAACTGAGATGGTTAGTCACTCTACAAACTAAAGTCACAGGAGGAAGCCCCATTCTGAAAGGGCTTAATTCCTTCTTGTGGGCAGGCATCCTCCAAGACTAGCTGGCTAAGTTCCAACAATTTGATGCAATAGGTCAACTCCTTTACCATCTCCAGGTACATTTTTTCTCATTGTTCACCAGGATCTTCCATCACTCACAGTCAGATATAGCAGGGGCATCTTACTAACTATGGCTATGATTGGTGATTCGTAGTAGCTACCCTGGGTTTTTCCCACCTGAAACAGCCCCATTCATGCCCTGGGCATTGGTCCTCATCTCTGACTATACATGAGGATCCCCTGGGGGACTGGGTTTCAATGTTGTTCAAAGCTCTCAGTCATTCTGATGTGCAGCCAGGGTTGAGATCCACTGCCCTAGGACCTAGAACACTGGCACTTGAATGCCCCTATGTCCAAAAAACAGTGTGCTTCTATCCACAGTCTCTTCCAGCCCACCTCCCCGCAAGTGTGGAGTGGATCTCCACACAGGCATAAGTCCTGGTGTGAACAATTTTTTTTCAAACCAAAAAGAATATAACCCTTATATTATATTTTCTTGATTGTCAAAGCACTTAGCATTGCTTTTAACTGACCAATATAGACATTTTCTCTCTAGGTACTTGCCATTTAAAGATTAAAACCCTGAAAAAATAAAATAAAGATTAAAAGCCTGAACCCTAGGTTTCATGGACAATGACCAGGAGAATCTATTGATTGTCCAGGCAGAATATTCTTATTCTATGAATACTGTGAATCTGAGGACGAATCATATTTCCTTCTTTACACTGGCTGCTAGGAAGATCAGAGTGGCTCACTTTTAGCAATTGCACAGACTGCATGGTCTACGCTTCATGTGCTAACTTTACTTCTGTTTTCATCTTACTCCTTAAGCTGACTTTCCCTTTGACCTAGAGTCCTTAGCTATTTATTCTGTCCTATTAAATTGAATGTACCCACAAGCTGCCATAAATCCTTTCCGAAGAAAGGCCTGAAGTATAAATAAATAAAATGCAGATGGTAATTGTTATTTTTAGGAAGAGGCAGAGCATAAAAAATATTGGACAGACTCTACGAAGCAGATCATGCTGCTTTTTATGATGCAAGGCTTCCAATTTTCAATCCAAAGCTACCTTTTCAAGATTCATGCTTTCCCCCCCATGACTCATACAGAAAAGTACTAATGCCCGAATACCCAACCCAAGAAATGCCTTTTGGCCTTTCTCTGACATTGTCTTCTGGTCTCTCTAAGAGTCCCAGTGAGGATGATATGAGGAATTCTTAATCGCAGGAAACAAACTGAGTGTTGTTGGAGTGGGGGGTGGGGTGGGAGGGATGGGGAGACTGGGTGATAGACACTGGGGAGGGTATGTGCTCTGGTAAGCGCTGTGAATTGTGCAAGACTGTTGAATCTCAGATCTGTACCTCTGAAACAAATAATGCAATATATGTTAAGAAAAAAAAAAGAAGAAGAAGGTAGCGGGAGGGGAAGAATGAAGCAGGGGAAATCGGAGGGGTAGACGAACCATGAGAGACGATGGACTCTGAAAAACAAACAGGGTTCTGGAGGGGAGGGGGGTGGGAGGAAGGGTTAGCCTGGTGGTGGGTATTGAGGAGGGCACATTCTGCATGGAGCACTGGGTGTTGTGCACAAACAATGAATCATGGAACACTTCATCTAAAACTAATGATGTAATGTATGGGGATTAACATAAGGATAAAAAAAAAAAAAAGAGTCCCAGTGAGGAGCAGATGATTGCTTTCAACTGCACACTTCTCTTCCCCAATCAAGGACACAATTATCTTGATTGGTTTATAAGCTCAGCTCTGCACTCTGTGAGTGATTTCACTGCTGGATCGGGAGCGCTACCACAGTCAGTTCTCCTAATTAATTTATCTGATTTATTTACAGAGCTGTTGGGGGGGGGGGTCTTCTGAAATCCATATGCAAATATAATTTAAAATGTAAATCAATATTTTGAGCCAAGAGCATGGGCATTTTTTAATGGGAATGCAGGGTAGTCTTGTGCCTGAAGTTATGATTCTTTGTGGCTGATGACTTGGTTCTCCATGGGGTTATATTTGCAGATGCTAGGAATTTGGTTATCCCAAGAACTCTTGTTCAGAAAGCAGGGAGGCTATGTGGAATGTTTAAGATTTATTCACTTTCCTCCAACTGCATGACTATTCAGAGGTTCTGTATAAATGGCACAACCAAAATCTCCATTTTATAATGCAGGTCCAGTTTCCATTATAGAACATTAGTGGTGAAAAATCTCTGGGGAACATCATATCCAGCCCTTTCCTTCTGTGAATATATAGAAATATTTCCAGTATTACACACAGAATGAGTTGCAGAATTTGGACTGGGATCCAATGTCCACCACACCTGTGACCAACCCAGAATCAGGTGCATAAACTTCAATTCTAGCCTCTAAGACAATCTCTCAGAAATTTCCTCCAGACTTACCTCCAACTTACTCAGTACATCCAAGGTGCATTCATGACAATGTACTTCTTTCAAGAATTGCAGAAGTGCCTGCAGGGGGGTCCATACCCCAAACTGTCTGGATACATAGCCTTCCGAACACGAGGCCTACTGAAAGGCTCCACCTAGCCATGAGAGTTCTCTGTTCGGGAACCCAGCCCCACCTCCTCTCTAAAGTCAGGGAAGGCCTACATTTCTGCCTGTCCCACTCTTGCTTCTTAGCAAACCACTGTTGTCAAGAGTCATCTCTACCCTACACACTTTCTCTCAGGGATCATCTCGTTTAGAAAGAGATCACACAAGATTTTCAAAAGCCTCCTTTAGAGACAGTCCCACTCTAGCAAACTGAGACACCGTACAAAGAACATCCAGGGAGTAAATCCCAGTCCCCCATCTTGGGGACCATTGTCCTCATTGTCTTCCTACACCTGAATGTCCTACAGCACCCCGCCCTCCCCCTTCCAGGTGCTGCACGGTGTAGGGAGAGTTGGATGCCAAACTGGCAGCATCTAGATCATGTCAGACCTTTGCATGTCAGACTTTGTGTATTTTCTAGTCTTTCCCTGGGGGCTAAGACTGGGCTGCTCATCAATTCATCTCTTCCCTATCCGTTTGGATTTTACACTGTAAATGTTCACAGATTAGCTATTTCCAAT